CAGTCAGCATTTCTAACTTGTAATTTTTGTTGTTGTTGTTGTTTTGGGGTCACACCTAGTGATGCTCTGGGTTTACTCCTGAGTATGCACTCAGGAATCACTCCTAGAGATGCTCAGAGATGCTTTTCATTATGGAATGCCGGGGATCCAACTTAGGTCGACCATATGCAAGGTCCTTACATCCTGTACTATCCCTGTAGCCCCTTAACAAAACTTTTTCAAGTTATGATAAATTTATTGGGATAAATACTACCAAAAGTTGAGGCATAATCCCGGGGATGCAAGGATGGTTCAGTATATGCAAATCAATGAACCTACTACACCACATCAGTGAGAGGAAAGATAAAAACCATGTGATCCGTATCATATCAGTGCGGAGAAAGCTTTCAACAAGATCCAACACCCATTCATGATAAAAATCCTTAATAAAATAGGGCTGGAAGAAACGTTCCTTAAGTTAGTAGCAGCTATTTATAAAAATCCCAGAGCCAATATTCTTCTTTATGGTAAAATTCTGAAAGCATTCCCACTGAGATCAGGCAGGAGACAAGGATGTCGAACTGTCCCCACTCTTATTCAACATCGCGTTAAAATGGCAACAGCAGTCAGACACAGAATGGAAATCAAAGGGGTCCAGAGTGAAAAAGAGGGAACCAAGAGATCTCTGTTTGCAGACGACTTGATGGTATACATTGAAGACCCTAAGGAATCCCCATAAAAGCTCCTAGAAACAATAAGTCAATAAAGCAAAGTGACTGAATACAGGGTACACAAAAACCAGTTGCATTGTTGTATACAAGTAATGAATCAGAGGAGAAAGAGCTCAGAATCTCTCCTGTTTTCACTTACTGTCCCGGAGCATCAGGGACCCAGGAATCAACAAAAGAGGCGAGAGATCTCTACCATCGAAACACTCAGGAAAGAAATCGAAGATGTTAGGAAGTGGAAAGCATTCCATGCTCGTGGATCGGCAGAATCAACATTGTCAAGACGACTGTCCTACCTAAACTGCTGTGCTCAGCCATGGAGCACAGCAAGCATTTGCCGAGGATCTGCTCAGTCAACAAGCCAAGAGAAAGGCTCCTCATCCTCAGAAGCTGAGTGCCGGGACTGTGGAGTTTGCTCAAGGACAGATGCCCGGCAACGGCCAGGGGCCTGACTTCCGTTCCATCACATATGATCCACCAAGCACTGCTTCCGGCATCCCCAACCTGAGCATTGAGCTAACCCTCCTGGTTAGTAGAGAATGCCTGGGGGAGGCCCCAACTCCCCAACATGGCTTAGCACCTCGGGAAGCCCAGTGCCGGGCAGTTTACCAACCCTTAGCCCTGTACTTGAGGCCTCCCTGTACTCCGGATGTTTTGGTTTTTGTTCTGGTTTGGTTTGGTTTCTTTTAGTTTTGAGGTCACACACAGTGATGCTCAGGAGTTCCTCCTGGCTCTTCACTCAAGAACTACTGGCAAGGCTCTGGGGACCATATAGGGTGCTGGGGATTAAACCGGATTGGCTGCATGCAGAGCAAGCACCCAACCCACTGTACTATCACTCCGGACCTAGCCTGTATTTTTGGTTAATCTCATCATCTTAATTTCTTTATTTTTACTTTCTAGCCAATATTTAGAAATTGAGAAAATGTACCATAAAAGATTCAGATTCTTTAAAAAAAATTTTAAAGAAATTTTTTATTTTAATGAATCATCGTGAGATACAGTTATAGACTTACAAATTTTCATGATTATGTTTCAATCGAACAATGTTTGAGTACCCATCCCTCTACCAGTGCCCATTCTCTACCACCGATGTTCCCAGTGTCCCTCCCGCCACCACCACCCCATCCTACGCCCTGCCTCTGTGGCAGACAAATTCCCTCTTTCTCTCTCCTTTTGGGTGTTATGATTTGCAATATAGGCACTAAATAGCTATCATGTTTGGTCCATAGCCTACTTTCAGCACGCATCTACCACCCCCAGTGAACCCTCCAACCATCATTTGCTTAGTGGTCTCTTCTCCATCCCACTTGCCTTTTCCCCCAGCACACGAGATTGGCTTCCAAGCCGTGGGACCACCCTCCTGGCCTTTATCTCTACTATCCATAAGTGTTAACTCTCCTATTATGTTACTTTATATTCCACAAATGGGTGCAGTCATTCTGTGTCTGTCCCGCTCTTTCTGACTCATTTCACTTAGCATGATACTCCATGTTGATTCACTTACATACAAATTTCATGGTTTCATCTTTTTTAAAAAAAATTTTTTTTTAATCAGTTGTGGCATTGCAGGGCATTGTGAGCTGGAGCCAGAGGCTGCCCCTCCCGGGCACCAAGCCCCCGATGGACTCTAGCCCCTCTCAGTCCTGTGGTAGTGGGGTGAGCTAGTGGCTTCATTGGCACTGCAGACTCCCAGCTAACTCTGCTGAGATGACAGTGAAGGGAAGTGCGCCTGTCTTCCTCCACTTAAGAGCAAGAACAGCAGACCAAGAGTCATGGAACGGATTTGATTTCTTCAGAAACACCAAGTTTTCTCCTATATAGTGTGCATACAATATACACATAGTGTGCGGGCATTTGTGTGGGACAACGCTTCCGATGCACTGGAACATAACCTGTAGCTATAATTAGAGTTCCTTTATGTGGAATATGTGATGGAAAGACTTCAAAAGGTGGTTTTTAATGCGACTAAAATAAGCCAAGCGAGCCACTGTGAGCAGGTTTACAGTCCCTCACTTATGTGACATTCTTGCTTGGCCCTTGACATTTGAGTTAGGCAGAAGGGGAAGCAGCCTCTGACCTTTTTAGAAGGACTGCGCATGGCACACCCTGTGTCCCACAGCCTTCGGGTGGGGGGGATCTTCGGAGCAGAGACCGGCCAATGGCCTCTGATTAGGACCACATGGCAGGGAGTGGGGGTCTTATTACTGAGGCGATCTTTTTCAGGCAATGATCAAATGGGGTTGTTGAAAGAACATTAAACTCTGAAGAGGCTCCGTGGAGTTTTTATAGATTTTTCTTCTCAGTTCATTTCATTTGAGACCTTTTGTTGTTTTTGTTCCCGATTTCTCTGAGTTGCTGAAAAACTAAGAAGCGTCTGTCATCTGTGTATTCGAGTTGGAGCAAAGTTGCTGGACAAAAGGCTTTCCCTTGCCCGTACCTACCGACCTGGGAGGGGTTGTCAGCTGTGGGGTTGTGACCCTGGCTGATGTTGTGATCTTAAGCAGAGGAGTCCCCCTGCAGCTCAGCCCCTTGTGAGGAAATGCACACCCCTGGGGCCCGGCTGCCCGCCTGGGCTGCTTCCCCGTCTCAGCCATTCAAGGGCCTCCACGCACGCCTGCTCTCTCGCCCCTCCTCTCCTCCCTCTCCCCTCTCTCACACCCACAGACACTGTGATCATGGGACGGAAGTACAGAAAACAGGGTTAGGGAGAGGTGGCTCAAGGTCAGGTGCTCCTGTTTTGCATCTAGTAGGAGCCCCAGCACTGCATGGTTCCCAGAGCACCCCTGAGAGTGACCCCCCCCCCAAGGATCGCGCCTGCCGCCTCCCCAGGTGTGGCTCTCAAACCAACAAAGGAAGAAAAAAGTTAAAGAAAAAGAAACCATTTTCTGACGCGCTTATTGTTTTTCTCCTGTAAATATCTATAAAAAATGCAGGAAATTTCCCTGGTGTGGTTGTGATTCTCCAGGCTTATTTTCGGGCTGTAAACCGTTCTATCGGTGCTTTATACTTATTAAAAACCATGGGGAGGTGCTGGAGAGATAGCACAGTGGGTAGGGCGTTTGCCTTGCACGCGGCCGACCCGGGTTCGATTCTCAGCATCCCATATGGTCCCCTGAGCACCGCCAGGAGTAATCCCTGTGCATCGCCAGGTGTGACCCAAAAAGCAAAAAATAAATAAATAATTAAAAAGAAATTAAAAACCATGGGGATAGACCTGAAAAATTTAGTGCCAAAACCCTAGGCCCTTAGCAAATCTTTATCTTACCCTGTTCTTATCCTGATTGCATATAATTATTTTCTGTTGTTCCCCTTCATCCCAGTCAGCTTATTTTAAAACAATCTTTTACTTGGGAGAATGGGGCCAGAGGGACAGAATAGCAGGTAGGAGGGTTGGTCCCTGGGTTTGATCCCTAGAATTCCATATGGTCCCCTGAGTCTGCCAGGAGTCATCTCTGAGCACAGAGAGCCAGGAGTGATCCCTGAGCACTTCTTGGTGTGTCCCCACCCCCTAAAAAATCTTTTTTTTTTTCCTTTTTGAGTCACACCAACAGTGCTCAGGGGTTACTCCTGGCTCTGCACTCAGGAATTACTCTCGGTGGTGCTCGGGGGACCATATGGGATGCTGGGGATCGTATTCGGGTCGACCGTGCGCAAGGCAAATGTCCTACCCACTGTACTATATCTCCAGCCCTCCAAAAAATCTTTTAATTGGTACAGTTCTATACAATAGCTTGAGCTTTGCTTTAGAATGAGACAATTTATAAAGAACTTAAGTAAAATATTAGTGACCACTTGTCACCAACATCTCACTAACTTGTTTTTAGATATAATTTGGTTCCCTACACAATTAGATCTATCAATTCTTTGTGATTGCCAGGAAGATCTGTGCCAAAGGTCTTTGAGGGCTCTCTGTTACCACACCCCCACCCCCAGAGTTAATGAAATGATTTGGCAAATGCTGCATTTAGAGATTAGGGGCAGCACAAGTGGCTTCCCACCCCTATTCTCCAGGGGTTCAGTTTGTAAGCTTACTACATTTCAATTTCCAGTCTCCCACTTATTCAGAAAGACCTTTCTGTGAGAGCGTACGGCTGGCTGGTCTGACAGGCCAGGGATTGCCTGACGATGTTCCCGGTCTCCGCCAGATTTCTGTGGCTGGAACGTAGGCCTGACTCAGCGTTTGCTTTAGTTCCGTGAAGCAGTTGTCTCTCCCTGGGGCCTGGGCCGATCTCCGTGGGGCCATAGTGGTTTGACTCCAATGACCTTTTCTGCTGTTTCTCTTTTTTTCAGAGTATGATCGATTGGGCTTTCTCCTGAAGCTGGACTCGAAACTGTGAGTAGAATGAGAAAGTGCCTGTGGGGGTGGAGAGGTCTGTTGGCTTTGGGGTACAGCTTTGAAGGGTCTCCTTTCGTCCCTGCTGTGGTTGCTGGGGACTCTCTGGGGTGTCTGTCCTCAGCCTGCCCCGTATAGCTCAGAACACATTCCAGCATCCAGGGACCTGAAGGGCACGGAGTCTTGGCTGCAAGTATAAGGCCTTGTGACAGATGCCAGCAGCCACCAAGTACGGCACACCTGTGGAAAGGTGATGTAGAGTAGAAGCTGGTCATGTAGCAGCAGGGAGAGTGGCCTCTCCAGGATGCCTTGAAACTTGGCATGCCGAATTTCCCCCACACAGCCCTCTTCCTGACTGAACTCCCGTCACTTGCTCCCAGGAAGGTCCTCCTTCTCCCGCTAGCTGGCATACTCTGTCTATGCCTGAAACTCCTTTTCCCTGCTTGTCCAGTAGAGACGTTCAAAGAACACCCCCTCCCTTTCGAAATGACCTCTTCTGTGAATTTTCTACCTCTTTCACCAATGACTATACCACAATCAACTGTATATTTATTATTAATTTACTGAGATCACAATCCTAGAGCCAGGCAAAGCAATTGATATTTACTCTGTGATTTGGGGCAAGCTGTTTAATCACTCTGAGCCTATCTCACAGGGCTATTATAGGGATTTAATTGAAATTATTCCTTTATAGGGACTTTCAAGTGCAGGGTATTGAATTCCTAAAGAATCTACCCTATCTAGTCTATCTGATGTCCCTAATACCTACTCACTACTGGGATTTGTTTGTTAGTTATTCAGTAAACACTTAGCACATGGATTCAGAGATACTGCATGAGTGGTTAGTTGGATGGATGGATTCATAAATAGTGGCTGGGTGGATGGGTAAATAAATAGTGATTGGATGGCTGGACAGGTGGATGGACGGATGGTTGTATCAGATAGATGAAGAAGTGGACTGGCAGATTAATAGCTGGTTGGGTTGGTGGGTGGGTGGATGGAAGAATGAAAGGATGGTTGGATGGATTGGTGGGTGGATGGATGAAAGGATGGATGGGTGGATGGATAGGTGGATGGATAGATGGGTGGGTGGGTCGATGGATGGGTGGGTGGGTGGGTGGATGATTGGGTCGGATGGACGAGTTGGATGGACAGGTGAATAAATGGTTACTGGACGAAGGGTGAATTGACTGGGAACTGCCCTGTTCGACTGGGATGGCTTCGTCAGGTTCTTTGTGCTCTGTGTTCATGCTCTGCACAGAGTCTCCCACAGTGATATTTAATAAATGGTTATAGAAGTTCTCGTGACTCCTTTTTTTGCTAGCATCTTTATGTACCTGTGTCCCCTGTCAGGCGGACATGAAATATCAGCATTGATTGCCTTACTTAAAGCTACATCTGATGGTGTCCTGTTCACCACAGCTGCGTTCTCGACAGCAGAGTGGGGGCTGTTTGGTTTTTCCCCACTGAATTTTGCATCTCTGGCCCCTTTTCCTAGTATCTGGCGTCTTGGCCCTGGTGCTTCACACTGTGAGTTCAGATGTAGTAAATTCTCCCAGGTTGAACATATGGAGGCAGTATGGGGGAGGAATGGTCTGTTCTTTATATCAGCCTAGTAGAGATGTCAGCCACATTTAGCGCATGGCTGGGGCTTGATTACGCTGCAGACACACAGGCTTCACTCTTAGAAAATTCTTAATTTAGTGTTCTGGACAAAAAAACAAATCAAGTGTAAGCTATAAGTAAGTGAAATGTCATCGGGATGGAAGAGACATAGCAATTACCAAGTTGAATCACATTGATAAACAAAAGACATGTTATCTCGGACATGATAACTACAATATTTAAACTGTCTCCACTAGGATGAGGAGGGAATTAAGAGGACACTCCTGCCCTGCTGTCCTGACAGTCGGGCGGAACACAGGAGGCGGCGGTGGAACTTCCTGTTGTGGCCCAGAACCATTCCACAAATTTGATTCAGTTTCGCCTTTTACCTAGGAATTCACTTGACCTCATTGGTGTGACTCACAATTTAAAGCACAAACTGGAACTTTCCTACCTCTTACTACAAGGATTTTTAAATCCAGTGTTGTCTTCAGGAAAAGGCACCGATGTGTGGGATTTTTACCCACTTCCAAGAAGTACCCAAGTTAAGGATCCTGTTTCTGTGGGCATTTTCTCAGCTGCATTCAGACCTTGCCTTATGAAATCTTCCTCTGCTTGTTTTGTATTCTGTGTCTGACCAGAAGGATCTGAACTTGGATAGAAGAACAGGACTTCACTTCTGCCCCAGCTGCTTAGAATGAAAGCCCATAGATCATTGATGTAACTCTCTGTATCCTAATTTTCATTTACGAAAACCATATTTACTTCTTAAGGTTTTGTAAAGAACAAAAGGATTCTCTAAAGTTTGAATAAGAAGGCAAATGTGGGAATTTCTTTTTATTGCCTTCATTTAGCTGATTGAGTAGAAGAGTTCATCTATTCTGGGAAATTTGATGCCACTGTCTCTTTAAATATTACCTTTGCCCTGTTGTCTCTACACCTCCTCTGAAACTCCGATTCGGCATTAGGCCTCATCATTCAAGGCCCCAGTCTTATTAACTGCTCGTCCGTATTTTCCATCTTTTGATCCTTCCCCCCATGAAACTGAAACCCCAAAGGACTCAGTATAAGGATGAACTAGAACTAAATCTGCATTCCCAAGCCAGAACTGCAGGAAAGGTTGCCAGAGCTGAGTGGATCAGGGCAATAAGTTAATAAAACAGAAACGCTTGATATTCACAGCCAGAGCTTTTCTCACTCAAGCTGATTCATGAATTCATTTTAAGATATTCTAGGCTGTCTCCGGGGAAAACATGAATTCCGCACAAATACCTTTTCAAGGAAATGAGCAGTTCATAATAAATAACTGAGCGCGGAGAAAACAAGTCTGTTCTTGAGATCCTTGAAAAATAACAGACAAGAGAGCAGGACCCGTGGAAAACTTCTGAAACTGGAGTTACTAGGCACATTTTATAAAGCAGTTGCATACACTGTATTAGAAAAGAAAAGTCAGGACTGAACTGGAGATGTGAAACAGGGACTTATAAAAAGTAAAAGACTAGGGTCTGGGGAGAAGGCTCCAAGGACTGGCAGTCATGCCTTGTGTGTTGAAACCCCAGGTTTTGATCCTCAGCATTGGATGGTACCCTTAAGTACTGCCTGGAGCAGCACCTAGCACTGCTGAGTATGAGCCAAGAAAATTCTTTTAAAATAAAAGATTAGGAGCTGGAGCAATAGCACAGCGGGTAGGACGTTTGCCTTGCACGCGGCCAACTCAAGTTCGAATCCCAGCATCCCATATGGTCCTCTGAGCATCGCCAGGAGTAATTCCCGAGTGCAGAGCCAGGAATAACCCCTGTGCATCGCCAGTTGTGACCCAAAAAAGCAAAATAAACAAATAAAATAAAATAAAAGATTAGCAGAACAAAGAATCTCTAGAACTGAAAATTTACAGTGACCAAAATTTAAAACTCAGTAGAGTTGAGCAGCCGATTAGATAGAAATGAAGCAAAGTTAGTGGGCCGAATAATAGAGGAATTTTGTGTATTTGTCTGTACTTCTGTTGGTTTCATTTTGGGGCCACATCTGACTGTGCTCAGCACTGACTCTTGGATCTGCGCTCAGGGATCACTTCTGGTAGGGCTTGGGAGCCATCTGGGGTGCTGGGGATTGACCCGTCAGCTGCCTACAAGGCAAGTGCTTTACTGTCTTCTGGCCCCCAGAAGAAATGATCTTTAATAAAGATTAACAAACTTTTTCTGTTAAAGATAGGGGTTCTGATTATAAAGTCGAATCCTATGTTCTGGAGTTTGTGTCTTATTGTCTCTGTTGCAACCGAATGAGCAGACCATATTCTAATAGAACTTCATAATCCTGGTATTTTTTTTACAATAACTTTCCTTTCCAAAGATGAATTTAGCGATGTGGTTTATATTGATGTATATATTCTTTCGCTCGCCTTTGTCACTTTTTAGACTTAGTTCAAGCTACCGCATGATAATCATTGATGTATATCTACAGCAATTTTTTCTTCTAGAGGTGATCATTTGAATTTGAGTCTATAGGCATAAGAGCAAAAGTCTAATTCAAAGGCAGCATCGAGACAATCCAAACTTCAAAACAGTGACTCTAAGCACAACATTTTACAAAGTAGATTGTACTTCACATTTCACCTTCTGTTTTATGCGACGAGTATATATTGTAAAGAATCCACAAATCTGGCAAAATTTCTTTTTTTTTTTTTTAGTGGTTTATTTGTTTTCGTTTTCACAATGGAAGCAGTGCTCCTGTTTCCTCCTTGCAGTGCTGCCACACTATGCCTGGCTCGAGAGTGTCTGCATTCCTCCACCTCTGTCCCACCATCCCCTCTCCCTGGATACCTGCACTGTTCTCAGATCATGGTTCTGTTGACTGTTTCACAAAGTTATTCCAGTCAGGATTGTCTCCCAACATCCCACACACACAAAAAAAAAGAAAGGAAAAAAAAAAGAAAAGAAAAGAAACCGGTAGGGCACTTGCCTTGCACAAGCTAACCCTCTGTTTGATTCCCAACACTCACAGAGCTGATACCCCTTGATTTCCTTGCCAGTGTTGTCTCCTCGTCCCAGGTGCTCTCTGTTCAGGAAATTCTGTTACTTGGAAATGCTCTCATGATCTCTCTCTCCAGGGTGTATTTAGAAAATTTGGAAATGGATGCATTGGATCCTTGTTTTCATCAAATTCTTTAATTATGTGAAATAAATAGTTTTCTGTTCCTTTTGAGAATTCCCTGCCCTTGTATCCATAGAACAATATTCTGAGTACTTAGCCACAGCAACCGCTCCAAAGCCTTGTCATGTAGCAGTTAACCCTGTGGTCTCCAGGAGTACGGTTGCCTTGGAAGGTTAAAAAAGTGGGTTCTGGAGTAAGGCGTGGAATTCCAAGGCCCAGTTCCACATATTAGTGGGTAAGTGAGT